CAGTCAGGTAAATTTTTTGGTAGTTTTCGAATTATCTTTTTGATCTCGAGGCCTGGTAAGGGTTGCTACATGAAACCTACTTTAACAGGTACACTAGCATTGATTAGATGCGACTGTTTTTTTTAAACGCGCAAGATGTAGCCTTACAATATATCATGTCAGCTCTTTTATCCGAAATAACAATGTCAGCTTTCGCTGATGCTTTATCTGCGCTGTCAAATGTAACGTCCACCGGCAAGGAAATGACCAAATTCTTAATTTCGTGCCCTACCAGTTGAAGTAAAACGATGATCAAAGCTAGTGGAAGGAAGAACGAGGACGTTTTCTGATTGTACCGGTCGCTTTTCGAAATAGAATTATTAAGGGTTATTCATAAAAGTTTTTAAGCGTATTTATTTAACTAAACGTGGATTCAGAATGCAGGAATGTGGTTTCTGAATGGTAAGAAATGACTAGACTTCTGGGGTGATAGCAAAATCAAACGCGAGAATTTTTAAATTTATGATTACGTTTCTTTCAGTGGGATTAAAGGCGCAGGAGTTTCCAAAATTCTGCAAGTGACTCAGTTCTCATGACAGTTGGACAGTCTTACAGGTCCTGCGTAGGTTACCGAGTCTGATAGTGGGTTCTAGATGTATCAGAGAAGTAGTGCGTATAAACATCTTTTTCTAAAAGCATAAATACTGTCTTACCCACTTACCAAAAATTGCTCGAAAATTCGGCTTTGAAGTTGGTCAAGTCAGTGTTTAAACATTTTATTTTGACAGCATACTTATTTTGTTGACCAATTTGTGTTTCCCACGCACAATATTTTTACGTTAGCACAAGCCCAGCAGTTCCATAATAGATATCGTCTTTCATTCACTACTACTTTATGGGCTTATATTTCGTGTCCTGCTGCAAAAAAACAACAGTCGTAATTTGTATACTAATGAAATCTATGAAGTCTATCAAGTATTCAGAAAATCATTCGTAAGTCATACAATCAAACGTTATACATGTTTTGGGTCCCAGCCAAAGCTGTTAGTTAAACTATCCAGAAACTGATGCGAATAAGCAACTTCTAAAATAAATTGCGGGCAATTTTGTTTAGGCCATCGAACTTGCCCATAACTACTTGGCTAAAAAAGCGTTTCGAACTGAGGCTAATATAAACGGCGGATTAGTTTTAGATAAAATATCTCAAAATGCATGTTAAGGTTCGGATTTGATTGAGAAAAGTATTCACTGCAGCAGAAAAAAGCCACAGAGAGCTATTTTAAACTTTCGGCAACTCAATTAATTTATTTGATAAGTTCTCACACGGTATCGCCAGGAAATTATACTACTGAACGCGGAGGACACAGTTCACTAAAATGTTTCTTATCAAAAAATTTACCGGTAACTTACTTTGCATTGCCTTGCCCGCAGTTTACAGAAGCCTAAATGTGAGCTGAAGAAAAATCAGAAGATGAAAACTGCACGATCACTTTGTACTTTCAGGTTAAAAGCTTATCAAAAAACTCCAACAACTCCTTTGTGGCACGAGGAATTAAGTGTTCCCACCTGCGAACTTCTTGTATGCATATGTAGATGATCCATCGGAGAACCCTAGTTCGGGTGAAGCTAGAACGTTTTAAACTTCAATTTTGAGCCCTGTTTTTGCCAAACAATGTGTTTCTGACTATGTTCTAGCATTTATTGACTTTATCTTGTCAGAAGGTCACACCAGAAACTTCTGCTAATTGAATAAGCAAACGTTTGATCAAAAGTAGTTGAAATAGACAAAAATTTAAAAAATATTTTGTAAAGGATGGAGTCAACCCGCAAAATGTTAACCGCACCCTTGGAATTCCGAGTATATGACACTAAACCGCTGTCAAAAACATAGAAGTGCGACGCTCACATAAATTCCAATAAGGCAATCCCACCTAAACCTGTTTCGTCTTGTATTTGGGCGATTTAATGTTAAAAAATTTAAAACTCACGATTAAGTTTCAATGTTCACTCATATTGTTCGTTTTAACCCTGCGTGCATTATTTGGCGCTATAGCTTAATCCTTTGCTATGCTGTTAGTTCGATTTAGCGATCTCTCGTCACTGGGAATTTTTCCAATCATAAGGAGACAAGCAACAGCCGCTGTTTTTATTTCCATGCAACTGTCTATCAGACAATCTTACAAGTAATCTACGACGGTCTACAGTTTACACACTGTCTGCCAATACAGACTACCGAGTGGTCTGCGTCGTTTGTCGACGACGGTGGAAAAAATGTTAATCCAGTCAGTCAGCGGGATTATGTGATCGCGATGAATTCCCTGCTGACCACACAATTGTTGCAAGTCAGAACCAGTCAGTTTTTGAAAGCTCATCAAAGATACCCATTTGGCTTCGGTTGATGCAAAGTTCCAGCTACTTCCAAAACATGTAAATCCTTTCAGGGAGGGAAGCGCGTGCTTTGGTGCCTTCCGCATTTCACGTTGCATGTTAAAGTCAACTGAGTCGCGAATCGCTGTCAGATTCGGTGGAAGAATAGCGTGGACTTATTTAGCTGACTCAAATTTGTTATGAAACAATGCCCTTGTGTGTTTACACTCTCCTGTGCCCACAAAGGTCTGCTTTCGTCCTGGTTCTGCTCAGTCAGACATCCATCGGTTTACGCGGGCGCCTGCTATGGAAGAAGCTGAATAATGAGACTACGCTGATGGGCTCCGCAATAATATCATTTAGTGCATGGATATTTTGGATACGATCAATAAAGTCCTTCACAGAGCTTAAATATGCAAATTTGCTCCAGCGACATGGCCACTTGCCGTCTGAGCCCCAGGATGAGCACGTAGACTACCGTTTCATCTATCTTTAGGACATTTAAATTGCATTCTACGCGTTCTTTTCAGGACAATGATACATTTGGCTGTATTTTAGGAAGGTGCTTTATAAAGTGCAGAGCGGTAGCTGATGGACTAGGATTCAGACTCTGTCCCTTAACATGCCATGACGAACTCTCGTGTACAACAAGAAAAGAATGTCCACTGTGTTTGACAACCTGTTGTCTTGTGTTGGAGCCAGGTCCCCCGTGAAACGCACAACGGGGTCATTCAGCTCTATCAGCCAATTGCATCAACCCCCCCCCCCCCCATCCTAGATGATTGACGGACTCAAACAGTTCATTAGTGTTCAGGAGAAGAAGCCGAGGGCGAGGCGAACCCTCTCAGCGAATATTCCTCACTAGAAACGATCTAAAGCGGTTTTGAACTATCACGCCCAGCCAAAAAACGCGGACGCCTACCAACCAAGAAGATAAATAGGCACTCCCAGAACGAGGGGACAGGCCGTAATGGCTTTTTCTTGATGTGGCCTCTAGGACACCCCACTCTGCTGAGATCAGTCCGCCGCTTGTTTCTGTGAACGCTTGGTTCATCATGCACAGACAAGGCGTGCGCTGGCACACGTAGGCGGATCGTGTAGCTTTGTCACCCTCTGTGTCCATACCACCGGCAACCTTTGTATTTTATTTCTAACGCCAAACTCAGATGGTGGAAGAAAAGAGTGTGGTAGATGCCGTGTATGTTTGCAACTGTCATGGACTAACTCACGCTCAAGTCCCCATCCCTGCGCCCATTCTGCTGTGTAGGCAGTGAATCTGTGAACAATGGGGTGTAATCACTGGAACAGGAGCTTTATTTGTATGACGTTTCGGATTGCTGCTCGAATCCATCATCAGAGACAGTAGCAGATACGGGAGACTGTAGTATTTATAGGATGCAATTGCTATGCGACCGCGTACTTATAGAAATTCACGACGCTCCCGCCCCCCCCCCCCTAAATGGAGATTGGTGCACTTGGTCTGATGACCGTGTGGTGGCTGAGTGGCTGACATTCGCGCCGTAAGTCGCTGCAATTTCACCACAGGTGTTAAATGTTGGTGTGATGATTGTCCCACCATCTGACCCACCGATCCTGGTGTTGGGAACAGCGTTCGGTTGTGCGCTCTCCAATTCGATAATTACCCAGCCTAGGTGAAATCGCAGTACCTGAGGTGCAAGGAGAAGGTCACTGCACTTGTTAATAAATTGGGGGCCGGCGAAGCTCTTTAGTAATCACAGTGAAACTCCTAATGGGGCAGACTTTCTCAACATCTATCCCATTCTTTCCTCTCTCTCTCTCTCACCTGCCCGGAGCTGTCGGCAAGTCAGCGTTAAGACCATGGGAAGTAGGTTCGGACCCAGTGCCTGACAAAGCCAAACAACACCTTTACGTGTTCCACACACAACCAGGTTAGCCAAAGAATCAAATTTTCATGAGAGTGAATTGGACCTCACATTTGTGAAAGTACCATGGCGGTCACACCAAAGAAAAGAATCTTTGCGGTCTGACTCTCAGTCCTGAGAAGTATCGAGTTATCCCGCCAGTTGAAAACCCTCCAAAACAAAGACTTCTAGCCTCTGCCTGCCCTTTGTCTGCTTATTTGTTGTATGCTACCTGTCGTTCTTTTGAATCATCTTGCCCACCGCTTATATATTTTAGCAACCAGTTCGTTTAGAGAAGGACGGGAAAGCTCTGCTTTCGGTCTCTCTTCCCTTCCCCCACCTCCCTTCCCTTCCCGCTTCAAACACTACGGCAACGTTGTAGGCAGTCCCAGGTTAACTCGGATCGCTCTCCCGCAAACCAAAGTCGTGGACCGTAGTGGAGTTCGGCACACGTCTGGGACAACTGTGAAGTCCTACGTAGGGAGGGCACTGCTCACCCCCGCGAGGGGGAAGGGTCTAGAAAAGGTGCTTTAAACAAATGCTAGCGACCCACGCCGTCTGCAGTCTGCTCGTGACATTAGGCGCAAAAGTCACGGTCGAAACACTCAAAGTCCGAAACAACACACTCTCTCTTCCCTCTTCCACAGCCACCCCAATCGTCAGACTGGTAGGGTGAGTCTGCTCACTCTGGCAGCCTAGAATATTCGCTCCGTTTTAGACAACCAGAGGAGCAACCGAACGGAACGGACGATGGCGCTAGTGCCTCGCGAAATGGCGTTTTATAAGGTGCAAATCGCTGTACTCGGTGGGACCCGGTTCTCCGAACAAGGCCAACTGGAGGAGGCGGGTGCCAGCTACAACTTCGCGACAGTGGCACCTGTCGGGCCGTGTCCTCGTCTGGAGGCGAGACCAGCCGGACATGCTGGTGACAAAGGCGATCCCGGGTGCCTACGGATGGACCGACCGTCGCCTCGTCAGTTTCAAGATGCGGATTCGCCTACAGTTTCGCAGGTAACCTCAAATTAAGCGACCTCCTGGTAAGCAGAATATCGCTTTGTTCTCTTTACCTGCTCACCATCTCCTTTTCAGCAAAGAGCTAATTCAACGGCTAGCCAACCTTCCAGTCACTTATGCCGCCGCTGACGAGAACGCCTCCGTGGAGAACCGATGGTGTTAAATGTGGGACACAGTTCGGTTGACGTCGACGACCCCGACGGTACTCGGTCGCGCAAGCCGCCAACACCAGGACTTATTCGATGGCAATGACGCCGACATCAGCAACCTGCTCGCCGAGAAGAATCGCCTGCACAAAGTATACGTCTATCGAACCACCGACGACAACAGAGCAGCCTTCTACCGTAGTTGACTCCCTATGCAACAGCGGCTGCGGGAGATGCAGGAAGCCTGGACGGCTCGCAAGGCCTAGGAGATCGAAGGGTAAGCGGACCTCAACGAAAAGATGAACTACTTCGAAACGTCCGAAACAACTTCGACCTGGTTATCGACACGGAGAAGACGGTGGTCATGCACGAATCGTCACCCGACGCTGCCTACGTTGCATCCCAAATCAACGTGAACAGCGCCTAACTGCAGGTCGTGGACAACGTCACCTATCTGGCAGCAGGCTCTCCCGCACCACCAAGATCGACGATGAAGTGGTCCGACGGATATCCATAGCCAGTCAAGCATTCGGCCGTCTGCAAATGACAGTCTGGAATCGCCACGGTCTTCGCCTCAACGCCAAACTAAAGAGGTACAAGGCTATTATCCTGCCGACGCTGCTGAATGGAGTGAAGACCTGGACGGCGAAGACTCAACCATTACCACCTCAGCTGTTTTCGATGGATACTGAATTTCAGATGGCAGGACCGGATGCCGGACACGGGTGTACTGGAGCGGACGGGAATCCTTAGCATCCACGTCATGCGGAGACAGCTGCAAATGCGTTGGAGCGAGCACCTCGTGTGGATGGATGACGAGCGGCTACCCAAATAACTCTTATACGGGGATGTCGTCACGGATTCCCGCCGACAATGAGGCTAAGTCCATTCCCACAAGGACACTCCGAAGTCTTCTCTGAAGAGTCTGCAGATCTACCCAAACAACTGGGGAGACCTCGTCCGAGACCGACCGACCTAGATGAAGACAGTGAAGACAGACGCAGCGATCTATGGAGCCAATCGCATCGTCGGTAGGTGCTGCGCAAGTCGATTTTTGTTTAAACTGATTAATCCTTAAGCCACCGTGCCTGTTCCACCTTGCTCTGGATCATACGTTGGTCATCTTTGGGTACGACGGTCGAAATGTCGTGTGTGTGTGTGTTTTGAAGAACGGTATATTAAACTCATTGTTACAGCAGCATGACAGAAATTCTCACTGAAGCAATATAATTAGGAAGTCTAGCTAGCATTCTGCCGATGGCCTCAAAGCAAAAACTATTTATATTATTCTTTGAGATGAAAAGTTCGAATAGCCACGAAAATTCGAACAAACAAAATGCCTCCTAATAAATATTGTAAGAAAACATTTTCGGATCTGGCATTATACCTCTGTTGATCTATCAAAAAAACATATCCAGCAATGTCTCCAACAATCTTCCCTAAAGATGCGACGTTGATTACGCTGGAAAAAGGAAGGTGAGTAACGCGAACTAAGTGACAACTCGCTGAAAGTAGTTTCTTGCTAGGAACGGGAAAAATTTGGATAATGACGAAAGCGTTGTCTCAGCGCATCGTATTTTGTAGCTCAGATGTGGCGAACGCTGGGCTATCAGCCCGGCCTGCATCGATGTTGCCACTTTTCCAAACATTAATGACCCAAACGAAAGAGAAGGAGCTCTGCCGGGGTCGGACCGAACCAAATTCATAATTTAGGAATCGTGATTTGCCTACGGAACACTAAAGACTATAGGGGATTTAGAAGTTTCTTAATAATTTCAGATAATCTTAGGGAAAATTGTGAGCCGATAGTAAACTTTCGAAGGAGTGGTAAAAGCAGTTTTGAAAACGAGTGACCACGTTTTCGGCGAACGCGAATTTGTGATGCCGTGGCAATCGCGAACACCTATTCCGTGTGCAGTGGGGTCGAATAGTCATCATAATGATTGGTGTTTTATCTGGAGCCAGGTTTTCTTACTGCATCTGTCTCACAACGACCTTTTATATAACAGACGTAACAGACAGCACACTTCTGTTAAAGGTACCAGGCGTCCAAGGCTAAAACCTGTGACCTGTTATTAGCCGCTTATAAATTAACCTGAAAGATCAGTCCTATACTTTTGGGGAATCAGTCTTCCGAGGGTTATGTGCAAAGGCGGTTTATACATATAAAAAGATTTCTTATCCTTGATTTTAGGTGAGGGGGGCTGAAAATTCACGAACAGAAATAGCAAATATCAGATGTAAGAAAAACCGTCGAAATTATGTGGATATTTCATTTTGCTGGTGGTGTACCAGCCGTATCCACGTTACAATACGCTTGAAAAAATATCAACCAAAAATTAAAACTGGCGCTAAGTTCCTAAAATATAAACTACTAATTATTAACGCCTATGTATATACAAATGTTTAAATTCAAAACGCTTTCATTCGCACGGTACAGAGGATCACATTTCATCCTAATAATTTATTGCTAATTTTCGCGATCGAAAATAGAGATGCCCGAATGACCATTTGTGGCTAATAGATATTTGTGAGCCAATGATGCTGCAACCTCGGCTCGAATGCCGGAGGCTAGAACTTTTGCTGATTGATCATCTAAGCACAACCAAAACCACCTCGTTATGGGTTAACGTCATGCGCCTGACAGGATGAGAGTTTTTTTTCAATAATGGACAGTTTACTTTATATCCTGCTTCTTTGTGTAAGACCAAGCCGGAAATCTGGTTTTTTGTCGAGAAATATGACCGAAAGACCAGAATGCCTGCAACGTGACACATGCTCCGAAGTTATATTAATGGACGTCAATGCGATATAATGGCCCGTTGGTCAGGCAAAACAAAATGGTCATCTTATACTGTTGTATTTATTTTTATCTTCCAAATAGTTCAATCCCCTTCCACGATATGGCAGGTTTAAGCAGTTTTTTTAGAGATGGCTTATTGTTCTTCTAGTATAATGGGAAGTTAGCCATAAAGTGGCCTTTTTATTTTGCTATGCATTTTGGATAGGTGCAACGGTATGCCACCCACCAAAACTGCGTGTTTATGAAGAAACTGTCCTTTCCATCCGAACACTGCCAATTTTTAAATAAGAAATGTAAATTTTCTTTCGGTTTAGCCGCCGCAAGTGTTTCTGTTGTCTGTATGTTTTGGGGTTTACAGAGAAGTGAAAAGTTGTTCGTTATAGCAAAAGACGAAAACAAATATGCCTCCTTCTCATTCAGTGAAAAAAGCAACAACTGCGTTCAGAGTAGCCTCGAGAGTGAGATATCATCTGCGGTTTTCCGCCTGCGTTAGAAATTCTTTTCGCCCTAATCTGTCGTATAGCCTGCTGTATTTCAAATATTTGCTTCGAAATTCAGAACCAAGTTGCACGCAACCGGGAAAGTATCTAGTGCAGTTTGATTTCCGCAAGTAGGGCAACCCAGTAAATAAGCGGTAAGGAATGAATGTCTGCAAGGTTCTGACACCTTAACTTGAGAACTGAAACAATGACACATGCCTATCATATATTCTCAAGAAAATTCAAATTCAGTCTAGCGCAACGATACTAAAAACAGTTGAGCACAGAGTGAAATACAGTTTTCAGCACGAAATCGACGTCACGCTGCGGCGGAAAACCCTGCATGGGAAAGACACGCCAAAACCTTCCTGCAGAAAAATAAGCAAAACAACTTACTATCAACCTCTACGTTTTCAAGTTACCGTTGTTGAGGAGTTACAGCCCTTTAAAATATAGAAGTACCCGAAGTATTGCCATCATCGACTTCATGGTAACCAGCAGATTATCTAAGTTACACTGTTGTCCACGAATACTGCCACTCGAAAGGAATGACCAAAAGGTCATGCTAGTTCTGAAGCGTCTCGCCTTTCACTTGTGGGAGCAAATGTCCGTCAGCTATTCCAGACAGTCTACGGCCACAAAGTCACAAGAAAAAGTCACTGTTCCTCGTGTTCTGTCCAACATGTAGACTCTTGTGACAGACGAAATCAAGAACCCACACACATGTTTTGAGGTCACAGTTTTGTTCTATACAACCAGTAGGCGAAACGGATATCATGTACTAAGTTCCTACAAACCGACATGTCGTTTGATTAACCATGTTTATGAATCAACGTGCAGTGCGATAATAGTTTTCTTAGGTTGAATGATCAATCATGATCGAAGTGCAGGGCATGTTTGTGCAGTGTTTAGTTTAGTGGAGATCTGATGTGAAGGCAGTTATTGGGCTGCTGTCGACGATCTCAACGCGGCGGGAATGCAAGTGAGGAAGTCAGAACGGTGAGTCATTAATCCTGACGCCATGCTCGGCGAGTGCTCTGTCATCGTCCGAAACGTTTTAACTAATTCACACGCAAGCACGTCAGTGCCTCGGGTGGTTGGAGTTCCGCGGGCGGCAACCTGATGATTTAAGTCAAGTGTATGAATGCCTGCATGATCGTAAAACTTTAAAGTACAGAGTTGAACATCACTAAAAGTGAACGCAATCCTCGTTGCATGCGTACGAAATCCAGTAGAAGTCGTATCATACTTACCCCTCTCGAGTTGCTGAAAGTCAAATTAAGGGCACTACCCACTTTCTATAGAGTATAAACACGCAACGAAAGTATATGCGACAACAAGCCAATACACGCTACTGTGCTTGTAAAGGTCATCGTGTGATCAGGTGTTCTTCGAATGTCTTCTTTTTAGTCCAGCCAAGGGGTTTTTTAGGAAGTTGTGTGATAAATTAATGATATGATGGGACCTGCAGTTCAAAAACATTAGGCGCACGTATACTTAAAAAGTAGGTTTGTTTTAAACTGTTTGTTGTCCCTTTATAATACTCCACAGGCGCTAAGTGATGCTTTCTATTTACTAAATCTTCCTAGCCAGATATAACTCTTCGACTAGCCGGGCCTCAGTGGGTTGAAGTTACTTGGATCAGAAGTGTATGCGTCTGCAAGCATGCACCAACATTCCAGTCTCAGTTCACATAGGAAAAAAAGTTTGTTGGTTACTGACAAGCAGACTTGATAAATGTAGTGACATTAGTGAAAGCTGCAATAAACTGCGGCTTCCAATCTAATGCCCTTAAGATTTCTGGTTGAATCGTCTCCCGAAATTTAAACACAATCAAAGCGCGTTTTTCCACTCAGATGTATTGCCTCGGCCAATGTGGCAATTATTTAGGGTGTCATATTGTGGAGGAATGTTGACTTCAACTTCATTGTTTCGCCGCCAATATCTTCTAAAAATAAAACCTGATCAAAAAAGATGTAATAGACCCAACAAGAGTCTACCATCAGAGACGGTCACAGATAAGGCTAATAGACGCAGAAGGTGTACTGTATTTGTAGAGCGCAGTGGCCATGCGACCACATACTTGTCATAATTAGCAGGACCTGCATTCATTGTCGAGGTCCGTAGTTGGTACTTTGATAACTTACTTGGCGGCTCTCAAGGCGTTAACCATCGCAATTTCATCACACGTTTTCACTATTAGCGTGATAATTGCTCACCCATTTAGCTCCCTAATATTGTCAGTGGAAGCGGCATTCATCCACGCACTCCCAAAATGACCATTTTCCATGCCCAGGCAAAGTCACAGGACCGAATATGTAAGGGGCGAATTTCGCTTGTTAATTAACCGATGGCCGGAGAACTTTGACTCAAAAAGGTCGAAGCTCACGCACTTGTCGCCTATGAGGAGAATTTCTGCCAGACTAAAATTGAAAGTGGTTGCGCCCGGTCGAATAAGTGGCGATTTGAGA